CAAAATCAAGTTGTACCATATATAATACCATTTAGCACAGATAAGTACTTTACTTTCATATCTCAATTCTACACTTCAACAATAACTATTATCCAAATTTTAGGTTTCCAGATCTCTCCGTTCACTCAAACGCAAATTGTGCCAAATCTATTTCCATTTAGTACTATTCGTACACATAAATATGAATTCCAAAAGCTGTCTTTATAGTACAATCCTCAACAGTAATTTTAATTCCAAATTTCAGGTTTTCAGCTCTATCCGTTCACCCAAAATCCAATTTGTACTAAATTTAGTAACATTTAGTACATTCGTACGCATAAGTACGAATTTCCTAAACTCATCAATCCTACAATCCAACTTTCATTTTAATTCCCAATTTCAAGACTCCAGCTCTATTTGTTCACCTAAATCCAACTTGAACGAAATTTTGTACTTTTAGTCCTCTACTCCAAAACTAATCATAATTCCTCTTTTCAGGACTCCATTTCTATACACTATGCAAATAGTATCAAATTTAGTACTTATCATACACATAAGTACTCAAAATTTCATACTTCTAGCTTCAGCCGTTTCGTCTGGGCGATGATCCCACAGTCACTCACTTATCACTAAGTTCCTTTATATATTAAGGTTATATACGGCATTCTCGAATTAATTTATTACCGAGCAATGACCCTTAAACCGGGGTCAATGACCTTTAATCCGGGGTTAATAACCCTTAATCCCCTCAGTGACCCTTAATCCGGATTAAGCCTTAATCCCCCTCAATGACCTTTAATCCGGGGTCAATGACCTTAATCCGGATTAAGCCTTAATCACCTCAGTGACCCTTAATCCGGGTTCAATGACCCTTAATCCCCTCAGTGACCCTTAATCCAGGGTCAATTACCCTTAATCCGGATTAAGCCTTAATCCCCTCAATGACTTTTAATCCGGGGTCAATGACCCTTAATCCCCTCAGTGACCCTTAATCCCCTCAATGACCCTTAATCCGGATTAAGCCTTAATCCCCTCAGTCACCCTTAATCCGTTGTCAATGACTTTTAATCCGGGGTCAATGACCCTTAATCCCCTCAGTGACCCATAGTCCGGGGACAATGACCTTTAATCCGGGGTCAATGACCCTTAATCGCCTTAGTAACCCTTAACCCGGATTAGGATTAAGGGTCATTGACCCCGGATTAAAGGTCATTGACCCCGGAATAAGGGTTACTGAGGGGATTAAGGCTTAATCCGGATTAAGGGTCATTGCCCCGGATTAAGGCCACTGACCCCGGATTAAGGTCATTGAGGGGATTGAGGTCATTGAGGGGATTATGGCTTCATCCGGATTAAGGGCCACTAAGGGGATTAAGGTCATTGAGGGGATTAATGATTAAAGGTCATTGACCCCGGATTAAGGGTCATTGACCCCGGATTAAAGGTCATTGACCCCGGATTAAGGGTTACTGAGGGGATTAAGACTTAATCCGTATTAAGGGTCATTGACCCCGGACTAAGGTCATTGAGGGGATTATGGCATATTCGGGATTAAAGGTCACTAAGGGGATTAAGGTCATTGACCCCGGTTTAAAGGTCACTGAGGGGATTAAGGATTAAGGGTCATTGAGGGGATTAAGGGTATTTAGGGGATTAAGGGTCACTGAGGGGATTAAGGGTTACTGAGGGGATTAAGAGTCACTGAGGGGATTAAGGTCATTGATCCCGGATTAAGGTCATTGAGGGGATTAGGGCTTAATTCGGATTAAGGTTCACTAAGGGGATTAAGGGTCATTGACACCGGATTAAAGGTCATTGACCCCGGATTAAGGGTAACTGAGAGGATTAAGGTTTAATCCGGATTAAAGGTCATTGTCCCCGGATTAAGGGTCACTGAGGGGATTAAGGTTCCATTGGTGACAATAGGTATACAGTCATCAACGATGTGTAAACGACAGGAAGTGAATCTGTCGTTAACGAAAAGTAGGGAGATTACTCGCCGAAGTTGTCGTCAACGACAGTTTCGCTTACCCTGTCGCCCAAGTTGTCGTGCATGAATACTGCGACACTTGTGTGAAAATTTCGTCAACGATTTCACATTGTTGTCTGCAAAGTGTCTTCAAGGAATTGCCATTGTCTTGCACGATTCGTTAATGTTGTCTGCAAGACACTTTCTACTGGGAATAAACTTAATACTCAGCTGTCCGACCTTATATAGGCCTTGTTTCGACTTGTGCCGAACTAATTTTTGCCGAAAATATGCTATTTTTTCGTACAGTGTTTGAAAACAAAAGGAAATGAATGTCAATTTTAATATATTTGTTTCATTTTCCAATTGGAAATTTGACATACACCGACAGTCCATGGGACATATTTTTGCCACTGCTGGTATAGATGGTTCCCAACCTCCAAGAGCTAGGAATACCAAATTACAAGAATTTCGGAAAGAAAATACGACTTAAACCTTCAAAAGATGCAACATTTCAGCCACATTGATTGAAATATGCGGGAAAGAATTTTTAAAACACTGAAATGTGAGTTATATTAAATCGTGGACCAATATACCCCATTTGCACTACCAATCGCTATGGAGACTTCATTTGACGGTGAGACATGGTTTATTCTAATCATTTGTGTATTATTTTCTTATAGTACGTATTTTCAAAACTACCTCCATATCTCAACACTACACACCAATTCTGACCGCAACAAAAATCTATATCTCTATACTAAATTGTATATGATTTATTACCCTTTATACTCTTGTAATACTTATATTCAAAAAATCCTAAATTTCAAATATAGGTTCACCCAAATCTGAATTTAGTACCAGTTAGTACACATTAGTATAAATTCCCATACCTACAATCATAAGTACGAATTTCCAAAACTTCCCAAATCTTAATTCCAAATTTCAGAATTCCAGCTCCATCGGTTCACCTAAATCCAAATTGTGTCAAATTTACACATACAAATTTCCATTACTACCTACATCATGCTATCCACTGAAAATTTTTTTACCCAATTTCAAGATTCTAACGTTACTATTGTGTAGAAATTAGTAGACACCCCAACACTGATACTAACTCGAAATTTTAGTACATTCAATACACATTAGTACGAATTTCTAAAACTACACTCATACCACAACTCTACACTCCAAAATTAATCTTAATTTCAAATTTTAGGATTCCAGCTCTGTTGGTTCACCTAAATCCAAATTTAGTACCATTTAGAACTAATACGTACAAATTTTCAAAACAACTACATCTATTCCCCAACCCTACACTTCATCCAAAATTCAAATTGTACCATATTTAGTACACATACGTACGAATTTCCAAAACTACCAACATATCTCAATTTTATAATACAGTAGTAATTTTGTTTTCAAATTTCAGTGATACAGCTATATCGGTTCACCATAATCATAATTGTACCAAATATAGTATCACTTAGTACTTTTCGTACCAAATGTAGTACAGTTTAGTGCTTTTCGTATACATGAGTACACTCTTTCCAAAAGCATTTCTTGATATCTCATCCTTAATTCGCATTCCATTCACATGCTACGAAATTATACCAAATTTAGTATTTTTTAGTACTTTTCGGATACTTATGGTTCCAATGTCCAAAAAACGCTTTGCTATTCTACACTCAAATTTAAGAGTTCTAGCTCAACCGGTTCGCCACATGTACCACATTTAGTTCTTTTTAGAAATTTTTGTGCCGTTCTGGTACGAATTTCCAAAAACGCAGGCTTATCTGACACCTTTGGACCAAGAGAGACCCCAAATTTCAAAATTCTAGCTTCAGCCGTTTCGTCATTAAGTCAATCAATTACTTTACTTTTTTATTAGTATAGATGACATTTACGATTTCTAAGATGTTTAGAAATTAAAAATTGGCCAACACCTTTAAGATTATATCGCACGTTTGCTGAGAGACCGGCATAAATCAAAATAATAGATTTTGCAGAAGATCCTTTTTAGGTTTTCAATTTACTCACACCTTACAAGGAACAAAGAAACTTCTACAGCCTCTCAATCAGTGTGTGAAAGATATGGTGATATGGCCAACAATTCTGCATTATTAACTCAAAAATCACAATTTTTGATTTATGTCGGTTTTGCAGCAAATGAGCGATATTATAGAGAATATGGTTTATAATTCCCCAAGACTGTACCTACGTAGAGGTAGATTCCGGTAAACTAAATAGCGGGAAATATTTTCTCAATAATTTGCACATATACTACCCAAACTACTAGAGGTCCGTACCGCATGTTGGAATATTACAATGTCATTTCCAAATCTCTATAACTGCCACAAAATAGGTCCAAACTGAACTAAACTACATTTATTTGAAACATAATTTGGTTGTGTTTAAAAATGTATTTACCGGCAGATATATAACTTCAAATAAACCAATTTAGTTTTCCGCCAAGAGTACTTATCGAGGTCTTTCGATTCAGAAGGACAGCATACAAATTTACACACTCGTATATAATTATTTAAGTACTACAAAATAAATATTTCCATCAATATCAACATTTCTTGTCCCTAAGGGATAACAAAGGACTTATCACATGTTCTGAACTAGAACAGTTTTTGGAATAAACCCTTTATAGAGGTACCTTCTTGTCAATAACAAATAGATCAACAAATTGATTTAAAATCATTATTTTAGAAAATGTGAATTTAGTTTGACCATCTCGCCTTGATAGTAAAACAACCAGTACGTTGATTATTTTTTTTAATTGTATATTTTTTATTTGTATAAAAAATGGTATAATATATGAAAATTTGTATATAACAAAAAATAATGTTCTTACTTATGACTATATGAATGGAATATCTGACAGAGTATGACATGTATATGCTAAAATAATAAACTAATCTAATAACTAAACTAAATACTCTAAATATCAGTTCAATTTTAGCTGTTTTGTATATTGAGTGTAGACTGTGACTTTGCTTAAGGAATTTATCACAAACAAGAAAAATAAAAGTCAACTCCTCTTTCACTTTCTAAGTTTCTTTTTAATCCAATCTGTGTAAAGCGCCACACGAACATATACGCCAGGCCAGTCCTGTAGGCCACAACGACGTCCAAAGGAGACAATGCCCTCCAGAACCCAAGCACCATTACGATAATGCATTAACGGCGCACCGGAATCACCACGACAACTATCTTGATATTGTACCGTACCGCCAGCACAAAGGTGGGTGGGTTCTATACTCAAGCCAAATTTACCATACTGCTGACGACAGAATTTCTGATCTGCCAAGGAGACGGCAACTTTTTGTTTTATCGGACTACTAGTCTTCGTTTCAGTAGCTCCCCAACCTGCTACAGTGAGTTTTGTATCAGTCTTAAGATTATATGCTGGCATAACCGAGGGTAAACATATTGGTCGTATTGTTTGTGAATATCGGACGTTACTATCCAAACGCAATAGGGCGACATCGTGCACTGGGGTCTTCTGTTGGCGATAATTTTCGTGTATGATTTTCTTTTCAATGCGCCAACTGCGATTATCTTCGCCAAAGATGGAGTTTTTCGTATAATCCAAAACACCCAAACGAACACCGATTCTGCGGAAAATTATATGTTAGGTTTTTTAATTGCAAATTTGCAAATTACTTACAATGCTCCTTTTTGTAACAATATAGGTCCTGTAACACAGTGGGCAGCTGTTATCACATACCGTGACGTTATGAGCGACCCAGCGCAAACAGATTCTTTGAAGGGATCTGTAAAAAAATATAAACAAGGAATTAACTAGATATAATGGTCGTACATAAATGGGCTGAATTTTAGCCCACAGGTCTTATAAAGACCCACATACAGACCCTCGGTCTGTATAGAGACCCTCAGGTCTTTATAAAGACCAATCGGTCTGTATAGAGACCCCAGGTCTTTATATAGACCAATTGGTCTGTATAGAGACCATCAGGTCTTTTATATAGACCAATTGGTCTGTATAGAGACCCTCAGGTCTTTATAAAGACCAATTGGTCTGTATAGAGACCCTCAGATCTTTATAAAGACCAATTGGTCTGTAAAGAGACCATCAGGACTTTATAAAAATCAATTGGTCTGTAAAGAGACGCCCAGGACTTTATAAAGACCTATTGGTCTGTATAGAGAATCCCAGGTCTTTATAAAGACCAATTGGTCTGTATAGAGACCCTCAGGTCTTTATAAAGACCAATTGGTCTGTATAGATACCCTCAGGTCTTTATAAAGACCAATTGGTCTGTATAGAGACCCTCAGGTCTTTATAAAGACCAATTGGTCTGTATAGAGACCCTCAGGTCTTTATAAAGACCAATTGGTCTGTATCGAGACCCTCAGGTCTGTATAGAGACCCTCAGGTCTTTATAAAGACCAATTAGTCTGTATAGAGACCCTCAGGTCTTTATAAAGACCAATTGGTCTGTATAGAGACCGTCAGGTCTTTATAAAGACCAATTGGTCTGTATAGAGACCCTCAGGTCTTTATAAAGACCAATTGGTCTGTATAGAGACCCTCAGGTCTTTATAAAGACCAATTGGTCTGTATAGAGACCCTCAGGTCTCTTTATAAAGACCAATTGGTCTGTATAGAGACCCTCAGGTCTTTATAAAGACCAATTGGTCTGTATAGGTCTTTATAAAGACCAATTGGTCCCTCAGGTCTTTATAAAGACCAATTGGTCTGTATAGAGACCCTCAGGTCTTTATAAAGACCAATTGGTCTGTATAGAGACCCTCAGGTCTTTATAAAGACCAATTGGTCTGTATAGAGACCCTCAGGTCTTTATAAAGACCAATTGGTCTGTATAGAGACCCTCAGGTCTTTATAAAGACCAATTGGTCTGTATAGAGACCCTCAGGTCTTTATGAAGACCAATTGGTCTGTATAGAGACCCTCAGGTCTTTATGAAGACCAATTGGTCTGTATAGAGACCCTCAGGTCTTTATAAAGACCAATTGGTCTGTATCAGATCTTTATAAAGACCAATTGGTCTGTATAGAGACCCTCAGGTCTTTATAAAAACCAATTGGTCTTATATGACCAATTGGTGAGAAGAGAGTCCAATGATAATTTTACAGATGGTGTTCAAATATTTACCTGTATTTGAATATTCCAAAAATGCCATCCATGGAAATTCATAAGCATTCGCGTCATTGCCGCCGTATATGCGATTATCAATAAACTCTCCACCGCATGTTGGTGGCTCTGGTAATATAGAATCCGATGATGATGACAATGACGACGAAACTGGCCATAGTTTGGAACGTTCCGTTGTGGGATTATAACCAAAAAAGTCGCTTTGGAAAACCTAAAGAGACCAATTAAAAATAAATTGAAATTATCTATTCCACATTTTTCAAAACAAAAAAAATATCCTTACATCCTCAACAACAGCCGTTTTGGGTGACAGCTGCACAAAGCCTGTGTCACTGGAACAGCAAACATAAGGGGTTTTTCCAAAGCCACCACCACACGCAGAAGCCTCCACAAATTCCGGATCACTGTTCATAAGGACCTGGCAATTGTGAATGGCCACACAGGTGCCAATGCGTCCATTGGGATTCTCACAGCGTCGGTTGTTGCCTGGAAAATACACAAGAAGCAGAAAAAACAAGTGGTCACTTAAATGCAAAATACCGTTCATCATTATTATTTAAGATGTTCTTCTCCTCTTCCTTTTTGGTTTGGGAAAATCCACCAGATTTGCAAATTTGGTTTGTTTATATCTAGAAGCTATAAATTTTAGCTTAATTGAAAACTAAACAGGCATAGCAATGGATTTTTTTCGTTTTGGACTTTTGCATATGCTTCTCCATATCGGAAACTGGTTTTATTCTTCTTTGTTTTGCTTCATGTTTCATGGTAAAGATTACCACAAATATTTTGGTTTGCAAATGTTGTTTTTTTCGTGTTGATTGTTTTAATTAAGAATTGTTTAATAGTATTATTATTTGGTTTAGAGCTATTCGTCTGCGGTTTCTGCTACAGTTTACCATTAGAATCATATAATTTTTTGTTGTTGTTTTGATTATTGATTTCTTCAAATGTCATTATTTCATTTAATCAATGACAGATTGTCCAACGAACCTTAACCTCGACAAATTCACATTGTCGAAATGAAATAATTAATTGTTTGCAGCTAATAGAGCCCGGCAAAGCAATCGATCAAGAAAGGTTATTTTGAATAAAAAAATAGCAACAGAATGGACTGTCTAAAAATAAACAGATAATGTTCAGTTAGTTACAGACAGAGAGATATAGATAGATTTGAAGGAAAGTGGCAAAATACCCGTAATAAGGTTTATTTCGTATAATGACACATATATGGAAAGGTATATTTGAATGTGTGATGTCCATTAGTTTTAGACCTAGAGTTCGTAACTCCATAAAATGTTTGAATAAGACTGTAATACTATAGCATTTTTTTTATTTATTTCCCACTAAAGTTGGTCATATTGTAAAGAAATTAGAGAGTGCAATTGATAGCTTTATTTTGCCTCCGAAATCCTGTAAGAGACCGCAGAAGAGTCCATATACATTTTGCATCTGTTATTTGACTTATTTTTATTTTGATATTGAAAACACTTAAAAAACTCTTTGAAACGTGGGTGTGGTAGCTCTAACTCATTTTGCTGGATCGTTGATCGGCAATCGCGTTTTCGGTATGAAGCTCTCACCGTACATCACTAGCTTCGATACATAGGTATCGAATATCAAAATAAATAACTATCGTATCGTTTGAATGCGCGTTTTTTTTTTTTTTTTTGTATTTTTACAGATGTTTTTGTAATATTTCCATTCCATAACGTAAGTATTTCGTGTATGAAACTTTTCAATTTTTAAGCCAATTTTATTAAAAAGTAGTTAATTGCAAGGTGCGTTCTTATAAAAATAATTAAACATATAGTGTTTTAGAAGATTGATAGAAATAAATGAAAAAAACTATAAAAGTACCTCCGGGGTAGATTCGGCATTTTGAAGTGGGGCACATTCGGTCATATACAGATAGTGCAATATTATTTCCTTATAATTTTTTTGAGTTTGTCTTTAAAATTAATTCATTAATATAGTTTAAAATTACATATATAAGATCAAACGTGCTTGTATTGACGAAAATGCGTAAAAAAGCTATTTCTGATGGTGTGTGTGACCTTGAGATGTCAACTCCCGCCGCTAGAAAATATAGCCTTAAAAATCAAACTTTGAGTCGCATATTGAAACAAAATGGAACATTTAGATGACCCGAATTTCAACCACACTGATAGCGGTGATAATTAACAGGCTATGACTATGTTGCCGAATGTGCCCCATCAAAGGCCGAAGCTACCCTGGGCAGAGCACATTCGGCGAATTTGGCTTTTTTTGCAAAACTGTTTAACTAATACTAACTAATTATATGTTTTTGGTAATAGTTTTTATAATTAACTATCAGAGGACAATAATCAGCTATAAAGTTTTCATATCTGTTGAATATGTACTGATATATAGAGCTCTAAACAAAAAGTGCCTAAGGTGCCCTAGTCTCCCCTATATATCGGTCCACCTTTTTGCATAGCTTCCATATTGCGTTATCACCCCTTTCTCGGTAGTTTGGTAGTTTTTTTCGCATTCTCCAAACGACAGATTTGTACCTTAGCATTTCGGTTGTCGCAGGCTGATATACATATCTATGTAGAAAATAACAATATAGCTAAATGTTTCTGTACAGCACCCACAGAAAAGTATTTTCAAGATATTACTGTAATTAAGCATTGAAAGCCTATGGAAAGCAAAACATATCTTGACAGAAAATTAACAATATAGGTCCATGTTAAAACCCCACAAAAAGTTTCGTCCATTTTCGGTATTTCGGAAGATTAGCCGCGTGTTCGTACCGAAGAGGCGGTAATTAAACATTCTCGATAAAAAGCTCCCTCTTAATTATATCCTACGCAACTACTTTGTAAGGCTATTATAAGTTAGTGTGGCCCAACAGTTGTTAACGCCGTGAAATATTGTCCCTAAACCCACCTTTTGTATACCGATCGTATAAAATCCTCAAATTTCTGCCATTTAGAGTGCAATGTTATATGAGGCTATGTCTAAAGGGGACCGATATTGAAGACATAGCTAGAAACTAGCAAACATTTGGGGTCATAATTATATGAGGGCTATGCCTAATATTTTAATTAACGGTTAATAAATTACTTCGAATTCGGTTGAAAAACGCTCTGAAGAGCCCCAAAATACCGAAAATTGGAGCGTACCCTAATAAGGGGTCTACCCGAAAAAATGGATCTATTTTTATCATTTTTTGTGGAGAGATTTGTTACCTAATAAGAACTCAAGGTGCTAAATTGCAGACAACTCTGTCGAAAAATACGCCCAAACCCCCCAAAATACTGAAAATTTGGGGTACCGTTATACCAGAAAAAGTGGACCTATATTTATAATTTTTAGTGGGGAAATTTTGTACCCAATGAACCAAAATACCGTACCCTTCTATGGGAGCTAATCGGAAATGATTATTTCGATGCATTACAAAGGGAAAAAAATTAATATCCATACTATGGTGGTGGGTATCTATCCCGCAACTGGGTTCATTGCCAAATTACAATGCCAAATTCCAAAAAAAAATAATAAAAATATTGTTTCGATCAAGAATCCAAATACTTTATATAGAATTATGTATAATTGTACATTTTAGACCATGTTATAGGGGGTTGTACAAAAATAAAGTGTTCTTCATTGTCTTTATTAAAGGCAAATAATATCTGCAGAACTTCGTTTCTACACTTTTCACACGAATTGGCCAGTATTTAATATTCAATAATAGTTAAAAGATTTCTGTCACTAATTCAACATAGTTCAATGTGTTATATGTCCGCAAGTCGCACCTGCGCTCATTGATTGCCATTAATATATACAGTTACAAATTACAAGTGCACAACAATCAAAACATGCCGATTGGTAATTTGTTCTTGTCTCCCAACAGTGACAAAAAACGTATGAAATAAATGCTTTTGCACTAATTATAATTCCAAATATATGAAACAAATGTTTATTTGCACTAAACGTGTAAACATTTAAACACAAAAAGTTTAATGTACTACCTAATTGTTTTAAATTATTTATCACCAGCATTAAATTACTGCAATTGAACAATAAGGCAAAGAGTTACTTACTTCTGGACAGGGCACATCAAGTGATTTGATTTATTGTTATTTCCGTTTTCGTTAACGTTTTTCTAACCACAACTCTAACTAATGAAACGTTTAGTGGCGGGGTATTTTCAAAAATTCCCATGCTGTCGTGCTAATATGATATTTAGTTCATTTTTAATTAACATTAAGTTTTTCACAAAGAATCAGATTAACACGAGCGATATGTACGTATAACGTGGGTGAGTGTAAGTAGTTATTAAATAAATGTATTGACCGCTAAAATTACCTAAAAACACACACTCATACTGAGTATATTTAGCAATTTAATATATTTATGAATGATTTACTATTGTAGTTTTCAATGAAGTACCAAGAGCAACATTCTTGAAAAACAATTCATTATTTTGTTGCTCCATACATACATATTAAAGTAAAAGTTGTTTCTTTCAGTTAAAAATGTTATATCGATTTTTCAGAATTTCAATATTACGAATCTTCGGTTTTTGGATTCTAAAGTACATACAGATATAGGATCCCTTAAAAGAGGAGTTTATTCAATTACATATTGGACAAGTTCCGGGATTGTCAAAATAGGCAATCCTCAAACAAGAACCCATTCCTCATATCAGGGACATTGGACATTTCTTTCTCGGACAGATTTTTCGACTAAAAATACACTCCTATTTATGAGAAATTTTAATCACTGGAGAAATTTCAATATCCTCCTACCCTTTCATTACTATCATTATTTTCGAATTAAATTATTCTTTGTTACAACACAATTTATCTCTATGTCAATTACCAATGTATTTGGTTATTATATCACTTTTAGACATGTTGGTCTCGAAAACCCCACATATGCAGACTTTCCATACACGTGTTATATTCAAATTAATCTGTCATGCAGAAAAATACGAGTATAAAAATAAAAGTAATAATTAAATTGCATGTTTAATGTGCGACTACAAAATATAGGCTAGACATATTTGTAGAATGCAGGAAACTGGTTTCCAATGACATTGAGAATGCAAAAAATGTATGCTCGCTTAGAAGTATGCGGTAAGACGGCTAATTCAATTAACAATATTTCTCTGCTTAGAAATAGGTAGGTATTCTACTCGTTTAAGGTGGTTATTGAATTTTGAACAAATGCAGACAAGTACCATTGTAAATGTATAATACATGCATATATGTATGAGAAAATCGTTGCTACTTATATTTTAGTTTTGCTTGTTTACTAACCAATTAAACAGGCTGGGATTTAAAAAAATATTCTCTTTAGGAGCCAATGCACTGCACAAATGAATAGAATGAAACATATGTATCACATATTTGAGTATCATTTGACTTAATGGAAAACAAGTCTTTTCAAATTTCACCATAATTATTTGAAGATGTAACATGAAATAAGTTCGGCAGCACGATTTACTATATTCAACT